TCATGTCGCCATACCACATCAGCACAGAGATGTAATTGTCAATTCAAATCCAATAGTAGAAGAGGTAGTGAAGGTATTAGGAGTAATCAGGGAGGTTAGGATTAGAAGATATTGTTCAAGAAGTATGATTCAATGAGATAAGTTTAGAAAGTCAAAACTAGAGTTGTTGAAGAACCCAGAAGATTAGGATTTGAGAGAACACAAAGCATAAATGCACCGGCGCCATTGCGAACGATTTTGAGCCATGTCATTCAAGGTCTCTAACCATCGATTATTATCATCTCGCGGACCCCAACCAGGTTGTCGACAATTAACGACATGGCTAAGTCCACTCGTCAATGACTTCATGGATTTGTTCCATGTTTTGGTTTAGCTGCCCCTAACTTTCTTCCAACCTACTCCTACACCACAAAACAAAGCTCGTCGAGGCAGTCGGTGGTTAGGCATACGCAACACATGTCCCAACCACCTCAACTGATGAAGTTTCAGCACTTCATCGATTGATCTGCCATTCTTACCTAGCACCCGATTCCTAATAACAGCGTTGCTCACTCGGGTGTCCCAGGATATATGAGCAATGCTTCGAAGACACCTATGATCGAAAACCAGTAACCTACGAATATCCTCAACTCTTACCGGCCATGATTCACAACCACGTAGTATGACGAAGCGAACTGCTGCTCAGTACACTCGTCCTTTAGTCAGCAAACGGATATCTCGCCTACGCCATAAGTGACGCAGGTTGGCAAAAGCCAATCGAGCCTTCTGTATCCGAGCTGAAATTTCGTCAGTCACCAGGCCATCGGCACTGATGAGACTCCCAAGATAAGTGAAGCGGTCTACACGCTCGACTACTTCACTCCCTATCACTAGTTCAGGTGCCGATGAAACCCAGTCTTGAAGTAACATTTTGCATTTCGAGGGTGAGAACCGCATCCCGTACATGTTTGCATTGTTGCTCAGAGTAGTCAGAAAATTCTGCATTTTGTCAGCGTCTTCACCAAGTAGGACAATATCATCGGTATATTCTAAGTCAATAAGCGAGCCACCTGGTAAAAAGTCTACTCCTGAAAATTCAAACGAGGATAAGGTGATATCTAGGAGCATGTCTATGATAACATTAAACAAGTATCGAGAGAGTGGACATCCCTGACGCACACCACTTGAAGTAAAGAATTCGTTGACAGTTCGCCATAAGCTCTCACTCGGCCAGTGGTGTTCGAGTAGAGAGCTTGTATAAGTTTAATATACTTCTTTGGCCTCACTGATGTAGTCATGGCGTTAAGCTAAAAGGTAGAACTAGCTCTTTTTGACTGGACCCCAGTAGACAGTCGCGTCCCCCAAAGTTGACTAATCAGTGGACCAAACTAGATCAAGTCGCTATCAGACAACCCATCTAGCTCTGAATGTGACAAAGAGCGGAGTCAGTTCAAGAGGAAGCTGATAAAAAGCCTGCGCAATGATCGCGAACAATGGTAACAGTAGACAATTATTCCGAATTATCAAAGAAACCGGTATTAGAAATCCGACAGTTAGTGAAGCTGTCTCGGAAAAAAGTGGAACTAATTCATTCTCAGTCCAGTAGATTGGATCGATGTGCAGAACACTTGAGGCATCAGTTCAATTGACCTTCAGCCGAACTTCGTTTGCCCACGATCTCCAGTCGACCTGAAATGCAAGTTGATGTAAGTCCTCCAACTTTTAATGAAGTTGTAAAGACTGTAGGAAACATGAAGCGAGGAAGAGCCTGTCAGGCTTACCTCCGAGATTTTTAATGATGCAGGTTCAGTTTTAACAGTTAAATTGACTGAGATCTTAGGTAGAATCTGAAAACTGGACGTAATCTCATCCGACTTTTCTCAATCGCTGATCGTCACTGTCGATAAGAAAGGACAAAAGTCCCCTTTGTGAAAGTCACTTACATGGTGTCTAAAATACCAGCTTCAATAATATTTCGACGACATTTCACTCTTTCCATCGTGAGGTTCTGTGGCAGTGTCTATTATTGAAAGGATTACTAGAAAAGTACATTAACCTTAAAAAGTTCTTTCTCGAACAATACTTGTTGACTGAGATCTAATGGCGAACAGCCTGGTTTCCTCAATTCCTCTCTTGACTAGCACTAAGTATGCATCGAAATATCATTGAAGCTAAGTCATCCAATCGACCTGCCTGGCACGGTAGAACCTACAGGACAATATGTCCCGGCCAATATAGTTCGGTTGGGTCATCATGATGGCAAGCCTTACCACCACGTCAAGGTAGCAGCTACCATCAGATCGCTACTTTAGACATTTAATATACTGGCTTAACTTTTGACCGTTTAAGCTCATGTCCTTATGGGACAATTAATCGCTAATACTCATAAAATATGTTTAGTTAAGTAGTATCTACTCACAGTCGTGTTGCATTGCTTAACTTTAGAAAGTATTGAATGTTTCTAAAAATCATTGGTGTTCTATTTCTCGGTTTTATTTGTTTAGAATACGTAACAGTCTAAACTCACCCCACTTAATGCATACTTCAGTGTAATTGAAAATTTAGATTTTTGGGTAAAAGCGACATTACTTTTTAACTCCACTGATGTTCATTTTTGATTGTAGTAATCTTCTAGGCATCAAAAATGTCACCAATGAACTCTCACAGTTTTCTATTTTCTGTCACAGTTCTTTCTAAGCATAAGTGGACCTCTTCACATCCTACCTGGGAAACAAGTTTTATATTATTTTTTGTTATGCTGTACATGATCCCAAAGTAATAAATAGCATATTAACCTACTTTGGTCAACAAGAGAATACTTCCCCTCATTCCGCTTCATCTCTATATGGACTAAACTCTTAGGTCAAATGTTCAGAGGTAGTCTGTTGTGGCACCTAATCTTTAACGATCAGTTTCATAAACTTGCTTCTGAGATAGTGGGAGATTTTCGTATCTTTGTCTAAGCTTGATTTCAGAGTTGCGTTGCATCACGTTGTACTCAGCGATCCCGTTGTACTTAAGGATCGTTTACCAGGAGTTCTGTCCTACGCCCGGAAAATCTGGCTCCCTTACGGTGTAGATTTTTGACTACTTTGTTTCCGAGCGGTTGCTCATGTTCGCTAAGTACATCACGTAATTAATACTGACATCTGGAAACATGTATTTAAACATAATGAAGACTGTCATTTAACACGCGCTATCGTGAAAACTTGTCTTCGGTTACTAAACATTTGACTCGAAGCCCAGTATATAAACCTGTAGTTGGTAAATGAGTTACATTGATTGCTAACTAATAGCGAATTCAAATGTTTCCAAAGTACTTGAATACTTTTGTTGGCATTTCAGTAGCGATCTCGTGGTTCTGAATGATTTTTTTGTAGAGTTCTAACGACTTCTCTTTTCGTGTGTTTATTAAATTTTCTGACGGTAATGTAAATTGCCACTAAGCATAAAAATATTTTGTTCACAAGTAAGCTATGACTTTACAATGACTTAGTGGTACTAAATAGATATTTCATGACGAAAGGTATTTATGATTACTGATCAGATTTGAACTAAAAACTCACATACATATGCTGGTTATTGTAATTCAGACAGCAAATAATGGTACACGGGTCTTTATTATGAAACTTTCTAGTTAACTAGTCTTAAGATTAAAGTTCAATTTATACATAAGAATGCTAAATTGAGTCCCTCTGTCCAAAAAAGGTATTATCCTATCGACCTTCACACATTGGATTCGCTGATTCTTTTGAAATCGAACACAAGTGGTTTTCCTTGTGAGAAAATTAGAGAACTGGATTTAACTACAGTACGGGATTGTCATATAAAAGTGGCATGTAAAACCTACTTTTATAATTGATGACTAGTGTTTAGATCGTATCGTATGCTTTTACTTAGTTTCTTCTCAAAAGTCTTCCTAGTTGCGGTCTTAATTTTTTTGAGTTAGGTAGCAATAGTCTGTATGGCTTTTCTGAATTCTCAGTCAGCTAGAGTTACGTAGTTTTTTACAGACTTCGGACTGCTAATTTTTTTGGCTTACACTGAGTTCTTGTTGTTTCTTATGTAGTAACTCAACAGAGGTAGACTTCGTTAGTAAGGGTCATAATAATGTATGTGTGAGTAGCTATGTATGGCTGACTAAGATACCTCTTTATGTTTTTCGTGTTGGATGTTTGTCTTAAAATCGTAAAAGCATGTAGTTATCAACACTAGTTATGCGTACCTTAAATAACAAAAGCGGTTTGTCCACAGAATGGCTTAAAAAGACTTCAAAATCCAGAATAAATACGATTGAATATTATGCGTCTAGCTGATGTGTCTTGGCTAGAAGAATATTACACGACATAGCGGAAAGCAGTCGCAAAATGAAAGACATTAGTTGCATGTTTGCGGTTTACTGCGAAGATTCTCATAATTTAGGGTATTTATTAGATTTTTGATGACGTACTCATGATATTTCATTACACGGCCGCTGATGACATCTACTTCATCTAACCGTGGAACTTTGTGTAAGTCCATTCCATGAATGCCTTCCGTTTAGTGATATTTAAGCTTACCTTTTCTGAAAAGTCTAAGGTTTTGTTTTTTGTTGATATCTTGAATTGTAAGGTTATTACTTACTATTTAGTTTGTTAAGCCGGTCAAACATTGGTGCTTGCTATTCGAGAATAACTGTTTATTGTGAGCAGGATTGTGAAACATTAAGTGGCGATTCTCTTAGTTGCTATTTCATAGCTAACGAAAAGGAAAAATTAATAACTTATTGTTTATAAGTTTTGGATGTATCCAAATTTTTAGTTATAAGTTAAATTACTGTGGTTTCGCATCTTAAAGATTTTCTTCTAATCTTGTTACTAACCTATTATCGCATCGTAGAAAGACTCATACAAGGGATTTTTTATCTATGCTTTTGTGCAAAGTGTTAGCTTGATTCTTCGTTCACTAGTCTATAAATTTTTTGGATGTGTTAACATTCTCGAGTTGCTTTATTCATTTCCAGTTTGTAGACCGAGATTTCAATGTCACGTGGCTGTATATATCATCTTCATTCCTCATTGATTTCCAAACGTATTCATCCTGAGGATGTTTTGCGCGTATTTATTAATCGTATCCAAGCCGATATTCATGGCGTTAGGGATGGTTTCTCTGTGTCTAAACTTGGCTTCCCACCTACCAATTCAATATTGAGTAGCTTATCTGAGATTATGCCAACTGGTTCAATCATTAGTCAAAGTACTCCCAATTTGATGACTTCCATACCGGTTGTTGTAAAAGATAATTTTTGTGTAAATTATCAAAGACTGCCACTAAAAACAACATGTGCTTCCAAATCACTGGAAAACTTTTGTTCACCTTACGATGCTGCTGTAAGTTGGGTGATAGTTGAAAATTATTAGTTCAATTTTGTATTTTGTTTAATGATCAAGCAAACTAAATTCTTTATTTCCCTATGCATCTTAAATTTATACATTCACTCCTAAATTATGGATTATTTTTCGCGGGATCCCAATCAGTGTTTTAATTGATGTTTATTATTAAGTAGTGTATTCGAACTAGATGACAAATCTTGAATAGACAACAAAAACCTATCTATAAAAGCGTAATTTATTTTGTAACTGTATATCACGTAACAACATATACATTTTACATTACTACAGAATTTTCTCGACTGTATAAATTGTGTTCACAAGTAAAATTTAACCTCTGAAACTTTATAGTTAGATGGACATATTAATCCATGTAATTACTCAGTGGTATTTTTGTGGTTTCAACGTTTTCATTCGTTTAAATTAAGTGTGAGTAATTTGATTTTATCACAGATAATTACCCTTATGATATATCTGAAATTGTTCAAACGTCATGATCATATGATTCCTAAACTTCTTAAGCATAAAAATACGTTAATTTCATATGAAACGAACTTCGTCTACTTTATGAAAACCAAAGAATAATATAATTTCATATCCCAATGAATATAAGAACGTGAAAATTTATTCACTGATTATACTGATCTTTAGTCTTCAAACTGTTCGGTACTAAAGATCCATATCGAAATCAATGATTTCACACCTAGTATATTTTAACAACATTATTGGGATGTACATGAAAATAAACGGTTATTTTTCGAAGTTTTTACTTTTCTGGATAGTTTTAAATGCATTACTTTCAAGCAATAACAACCTATTTATTGTAGTACTAGTGTATTATACAATCTGCAGTTTGTAACTTGTTTTCACTGTTATTTTGTGCTGAATTTACGAATTTAAAGCAGTTAATCAGCATGTAAATTAATACGGAGTTTAGATGTTATTCAGTTATCATATTGAAATTTAATTTTATATTTGAAATTATACTCCTACTTATATGAACATCTTAAACAGCCATTTATTGAAATATTTTTGATTGTTTCTTTTTGTCTTTCAAACGACTGCTCCAGGTTGTGTCATCTCTTCTTCATTCAGGAGCTTTCATTATCGGGAAATCAAACATGGATGAATTTGCAATGGGTTGTGGATCTACTGACAGCGCAGTTGCTGGCCCTGTTGTTAATCCATGGTCCGAAAAAGCATCTGGTAAAAACCGTCTTATTTCGGGTGGGAGTTCTGGAGGTAGTGCTGCTGCAGTTGCTGCTGGTCTTTGCCTAGCTAGCATTGCTTCGGATACTGGTGGTTCAGCACGGTTACCCGCTGCTTATTGTGGAGTTGTTGGTTTAAAGACAACATACACGTTAGTCTCTCGTCATGGTCTTATCCCATTAGTGAACGCTCTAGACGTGCCTGCAATCATTGCACCATCTGCCAGTGATGTTGCTTGTGTTTTAACAAGTTGGTTATCTTCCTCAAATAACTTTGCACGAACAGGTGATGCTACATGTTCCCAACTTCCACAATCATTCTTGACACGTATGTACAATGAATTGCAAGCTCTGATCAAAGGTGATCTGGATTTTACTCCCAAGAACGCTTCGCTACGCATAGGTATTCCGTTAGAATATCACGTTCCTGGTCTTCATGAGGAGATATGTGCCATGTGGGATACTGTAGCTGGTTGGTTAGCTGATCATTTATCCTGTTCTGTACAGTTAGTCAGATTGCCCCATACGCCTATGGCCACAACTGTATATTCAGTTTTGTGTGCAACGGAAGTAGCATCAAACATGTCCAGGTAATTCCGATTTACACTTAGTTCTAAACATATTCCTGTTTATGGGCTATTGGTTTCTTACTGTTAGAGTTAAACTGAATAATTGGTGATTATTTTATATGTAGACGAGATAATCAATTTAGAACTAATTTTACTACTATAAATAATCTTATTTTGCATTCAAAGTTAAGTGTTAACGTTTTTCTATGAATCAGTTCATATCAACTTACTACGAATTTGTTTTGCTTCTAAATGATATAATTAATTTCTATTCAGATACGATGGATTAAAGTATGGATTTTCCAAAATGAAATTATCCGATGGTCATGAAAATGCATTACCAGATAATACAGTGACACAGTACTCTGGTACTCGTTCGTTAGGTTTCGGTGATGTTGTTCAAGGCAGAATTTTCGCTGGTAATTTCTTTCTTCTTCAAGATCAACAGTGCAGACATTTAGCTTCTGCACGACGTTTATGGCGTTTAATTAAGGAAGATTTCACAAAGGTAATAACTATGTTTTGGTTCTAATAAATGAACACCAGTAATTGATTTTGTCTGGTTGTTACAGCCAGTTAAATTCTTTTGATTGTTTTGTAATAATTATTTATTGGTGAATTAATAATCGTGGCGTTTTACTATATTCAGAATATTCAACCAAGTCCCTCTTGAATAGATCTAAATGAAAAGTTCAACTTTTCATTGTTATTAATTGATAAGGTTTGTTTAAGTTGAAATTATTTGCTTATCCTTAAATTGTAAGTGAATTTATATTCTATTCTGATATGTTTGAATGCTATTACGAGTTCACTTTACTCAGTAAACGGATCGAAAGCGATGAGTAAGTGACACGATAGGCTATTCTAATCCGTTTGTCCCAGCCCCGGCTAACTAGATCAATAAGTTCTGATAAGGCATAGAGAGTGTATTCTACTAGCACCCAGAAAGTACGAGGTGTTTAAGCACTTAAATCAAGCTTATTTATACAATGATAAAGACGCCCTTGCGAGAGCCACAAAACAGCTTACTAGGATAATCCATCAACCAATGACAGTCAAGGATTTTCCGAGAAATTTGAACTAAAGGTCAACTGGCGCGAAAACATGGAAATTACAAAATTAGGACCTTTCCAAGGGAGTTCTGGGGATCTAACGCCCCCAACATATTTGGATTATTTATTTGTCATAAAGAAATCTGACAGAAACATGGTAAATGATTGTGTCAATGAGTTGACAGTGACTTTGTTTTCACTAAGAGTAATCGTTATTTAGATGAACATACATCAAATGATCAAAATAGATATAAAAAAACTAGAGGTTCCAAATAGCACTACTATATGAATTCATCCCATAGTGTTACATCAATTAAATATTTAGTGTATTATAATAGACATTTATTTGATGCAGACAGTTGACTTTTCATGTGTTATTCATAATAGGAAAACATTAGAAAATGAAATATTATTTTCACATTTTATGTAGAATTAAATTTTCTTTTATTATGATTGATATTTTAGGTTTTTGAATCGGTTGACTTCATATTGACACCAGTATCGCCTAGTCTACCTATTGGTATAGATGAATTTACTAAATTGGACAATCGTACACGAACTACACTTGATGATGTGTGCACAGTAGCTGTGAATTTGTCTGGATTACCTGCTATTTCATTTCCTGTTGGTTTATCACGTACATCTGGTTTACCAATTAGTTTACAATTAATTGGACCGTATTTTTCCGAGTGTCGACTATTGTCACTTGTTGCTAAATTAGAAGATTATGCCTGTTTTCAACCGTTAGTCAATCATAAATCCATTATTGATTCGATTTAAATAAAAGTGTTTGTTCTTTTTTTTCGAAAAAAATTCATTTATTTTTTGTTTTTCCTTCGTTCCTTCAGTAAACTGATTGAAATATGCTTTATCAAGTGAAGTTGTATACGCCTTTCATTTGGTTTTATTGCCTGCTTAAGAAAAAAGGAAAGTAGTTATTCATTGTACAAATTTTAACATATTTTAGTTTTAATTTTCTGATGATATTATGATGAACAATATATTGGATTGTTTTATTAGTTTGATATATATATATATATATATATATATATATATATATATATATATATATATATATATATATATATATATATAATACTTTTTTTCTTAATCTATTAATCATCCAAAGAAAATCAAATAAATTAATCCGATTTTGCTTGTTGATTTTTGTTTTGTTTTGGGGGAAAGGTAATAAAAAGTTATATTTATTGCTAATGAAATATATATGTATATATATACAATCAATTGAGCAGAACTTTGTGTTCGGTTTAGAGAAGAAAGTGAACTGATAGTCGTCAAGATTTCTAATTTGTATTAGAGTAGTAGTTTTTGAAATCTTGTTCAAATTTCAATCAATTAATCTTTTTATTAACGAATATAATTGTTCAAGGATTATGTGTTTGTTCAGTGTCACCACTAGTTAATAAAACAATTAATCGAACATCCATGCATCGGTATGAGCCTTCATTTCTAAAACTGTGTATATATTCGTTCCGATTTTATATTTTTTTCAGTATATGTAATGATTTCAAGTAATTTTATCACAAGATTCAATTATGTACAGTGGATTTCCACTGTAGTTTCATCAAAAATATTGAAGAAAATGAGATAAGATTTATTGTGTATCAGTATGGCCTGTTTGTTTTCATTAATTTCCTATTTTATCACACATCGAAATCTCACATTCTCGTAATTTAGCAGTACTAAAGATTGAATTATTGCTATACATGGTTTCTTTGACAATTTGGAATTTTTCTTTTTAGAAGAAAAGAATGCTTTTGAGAAAATATTAAAAGCGCTTAATAATTAAAATGATGAATAAAGAGATCTAACTTTCAGTGTCCCTTTTAATGCGGCCCCAGAATCTAGCGCAGATGTTTTTTGTGGTATTTTAGTCGAACCCCAAATACTTTCATGATACACTGAACTAAGTTATGAATTATGCATTGAAGAAAACGTTATCTTCAATTATCATGTTTAATTAATGATGAAGATATTTTATGCCAGTGGAATAAATGAATTGTCTTGATGAAAAAATATCTCATAAATATTATCACACTTTTAGTTATTCAGTTTAGTATTTGTTTAGACAATTTTGTGAATGAATGGTTAGTGCACTTTTAATATAGTTTGAACTTGATCGTCTACTTCGGCTAAATATGAAACATAAGCTACATATATTATGGCAGAGATATTATGAGAAGCATTATAAAAATACCTTAGGGAATTGAAAGTTAAGTACTATCAATAATAATGTTAGTATTTAGTGTAATTTTTTGTATGATAAACGATTTTGACCTTTGGTTATTTTATTTTCATCACTAATATTTCTTGTAATTCTATATGCTGCTTATAATATCCTTTTTCTTGTATTGATATTAAGAGCAGTAAATATTCAGTCCGACAAATTTATATTTTCTATATGATGAGAAGTTTGCTATGGTTTGGATTCAGTATTAAATAATAATAACTACTGCGAGTTATGATACTTGATTTACGTTAAATGAAGTGAATGGTTTGTAGTCAATAGTGATCTATTGTTTATAAAACTGGTTTCAATCATTGCTGGCTATTCTACCGGTCGAATACATTTCTTTAGTGTATTCATGGATATACATGGATATCAATCTAATATGGTTGATCGTTCTATTAAACTGACCATAAGCATTTGATTTTTGATGGTTTTGACTTACTGGAAATATAGAAATCTCCGCATTTGTTTAATTTAAAGATAATTTTGTGGTTTTCGATTATATATTTCGAAATATTTCTTGAGATTCTAATGAGAAGCAGTGACCTTTTGGGAGATAGACAAATGCTTGCACAACAATATAAGATGAAAATAGCATTATATGAAGTTGATTGAAATAAATAAACGTTAACCATTGGATTATGATTTAGGAACTGAATGATATCCTGCTAACCATAAGACCTGTAGTCTTAACTTCAAATGTTTAATAGTCAGTTAGTTACATTGTAGAACTTTGTACGTGCGCACATAAGTCTGGGTTGCCATACCATATTAACACAGTGACGCAATTGTTTGTTCAAATCACAGCAGTGGAGGTAGTAGAAGTACTAGACGTAATGAAGAAGATTAGGGTTCGAATAAATTATTCAAGTAGTATAATTCAGTGAAATGAATTTAGAAAGAGAAAGATAGAGGTGGTGAGGAATTCAGAAGGTTGGAATTTCACAGAACACAACGAGTGGATGCACCTGCGCCATTGCAAACGATTCTGAGGCATGTCATCCAAGCTCTCTAACCATCGGTTACTATCGTCTCTCGGACCACAACCTAATAGTCTAGACCTATCACTTGTCAGTTACTTCACGGATTTCTGCCATGTTTTTGTTTGGCTGCCCCTAGCTTCCTTCCGACCTACTCCTATACCACAAAACATAGCTCATCGAGGCAGTCGGTGGTTAGGCATACGTAACACGTCCCAACCACCTCGACTGGTAGGTTTCATTTCTTTACTATTTATCTGCCACCCTTACCTAGTACTCATTTCCTAAGAACAGCATTGCTTACTCTGGTGTCTCACGATACTCGAGCAATGCTTTGGAGGCACCTATGATCGAAAACCAGTAACCTACGAATATCTTCTACTCTCACTGGCCATGTTTCACAGCCATAATGTAGGGCTGAGCGAACTGCAACGCAGTACAATCGTCCTATGGTCAGCAAACGGATATCTCGCCTACGCCATAAGTGATGCAAGTCGGCAAACGCCGATCGAGCCTTCTGTATCCGTGCTGAGATTTCGTCAGTCATCAGGCCATCAGCATTGATGAGACTGCCGAGATAAGTGAGGCGGTTGACATTCTAAACTTCTTCACTCTCTATCACTAATTCAGGTGCCGATGCAACCCAATCTTGAAGCAACATTTTATATTTCGAGGGGGAAATCCGCATCCGAAACGTGCTTGCATTGTTGCTTATGGTAGTCATTTTGTTACCGTCTTCACCAAGTATAACTATGTCATCGGCGTATTCTAAGTCAACCGGTGAATATCCTGGTAGAAGGTCGACCCCTGAAAAGTGGGAAGAATATAATGTTTGCTGTAAAAGCATGTCGACATCTCCGACGGACACCACTTGAAGTAAAGTATTCCATTGACAGTTAGCCATAAGCTTTCACTTGACCTGTGGTTTTCGAGTACAGAGCTTGTATAAGGTTTGTGAACTTCTTTGGTACACCTTTGGACAATCAGGGATTGAGAACAGTAAGAGCTAACTGCTAAACGTTGTTGACCACCATCCTTAAAAATCTCGGAAGTGAGCCTGACAGGCTCTCCCTCGCTTCAAATTTTCTGTAGCCTTCACAACCTCATTAAGAGTTGGAGGACTTACATCAACTTGCATTTCAGGTCGACTGGAGATCGTGGGTAACCGAAGTGTGGCTGAAGGCCTATTGAACTGATGCCTCAAGTGTTATGTACATTGGTCCAATCTACTGGATTATGAATGAATTAGTTCGACTTTTTTCCGAGACAGCTTCACTAACTGTCGGATTTCTAATACCAGTTTCCTTGATTATTCGAAATAGTTATCTACTGTTACCTAATGCAGCAGCCTTTTCCATTCTCTTGCTTTTGCTACCCACCACTGTTCGCGATCATTACACTGACTTTTTGTCAGCCTGTACTTAAGATGACAGCTCTTCTTCGTGTCCACTGCCAGACGGGATGAGTTTTCTAGCGTTTATCAGTTCGGTGGATGCTACAGAGATCCACGGCTTAAACTTAACCTTATGGTTTACCTTACTAGCAGATATCACTGCTGTTTCCACAGCTTTTCGGATATCATTCCAAGCTGTCTCGGAGTTGGAATTACTTACGTTGCCGCTCAACTGCTTTTCTAGTTGTTCTTGAACTATATTCTTAGCTGTGATGTCATTAAGTAGAACCCTAAGAGGCTTCGTTGCATCGCCTTTCCTACGTCCGGTGAGCCAAACGCGATTTCAAGAGACTAGGAATTATGTTTCGTAAACTCGAATCGTTTGCATAAGCAGTGTGGGATGATAAATGAATGTGAGAAGGGTTATTCGCAGAGAATTTAGAGATTTTAAGTGGTAAAGCAAGGATTTGACTGTAGCCGACTTCGTCTCGTGTGCTTTCACAGGTATGAGGGTGGACGTCACCTCCTGGCTGCCCACACCGTAGAACGGTACTTCTTGAGGAACCTGAAAAGGAAGGTGGATTAGTGTTGGTCTTAGGAACCTGGGACGTGACTTCGAAGCCCAAGGGACAACGGCTTCAGGCTGGTCACGCATGGCCTACTTATGAGAAGTTTTTAAAGTGTTAACTCCGCTCTTGTTTAAATGGCCTTACTTCCGGGGCCGGAAGTTGGTGAGGTAAGGTGAGGTGTGACATTTTTAGAGTTGACCTTTTCGAACCCTTTCCTTCTGTTGTGAGAAGTAAGCATCGCTACAGATGCTGGTTGTCCGAGGGAAACACTACTGGTGTCACATCCCTCTACGGTCAACAGTACGACTTCGCCCTCAGACCTTGAGTAACTGCTTTTAGTCTCACTGTTCTCCATTTGGCATGCGTGGCATGGTAGAACCTATCACCACGTCAAGGTAGCAGCTACGGTCGGGAAATATTTCATAGACTTATTTTGAAGTATTGTAAGAGTCTAAATCTAAAAAGAAGTATCTCATTTCAATGTTTCTTGATTTTCAGTGCTTTTCAGAGAATATAATCGTTTTATTATAATGACACAATGCAAATCCTAGTTGTTTTTCTTAATATCGAGTGCTGTTAGTGAATAC